GTAATCGAAGGTTTTCCATGGAGCTGGATGAAAGTCGTGAATATCTTGATGTCGTAGCGACCTGGAAGTGCGAAAGGGACCTATAGCGGCGCGAAATGAATCTCCAGAGGGTAGATATGAATCGATCCTCGATCGCCGTCCTCACCTCTCGGCGTGAGGCACTGAACGCCATTGAAGTTGGCAATCGCGTCTCCCGTAGCTTGTGTGATGCCAGCCCTCGACATGACGTTAGCTTTGAAGGCCTCGACGGCATCGACGTCTGGATTCGGATCCGTAGGGACGTAAAACCGCATCTCCATCATGCACGAGGGAGCGTCATCGTTCGGTTGGAACTCGAGAGTGACTTCATTCTTGCTCGTCGAACAATTCGACACGTACGCCAGCGGAATCTGCGCGAAGTTCCGAGAAAGAGTCAGAATATCGGCTGGTTCCGATTCTGAAAACAAAGCTTGCGGGATAGGAGGATCACTTACCTCGAAAGCTGGTACTTTGTCGATATCGAAGGACAATACTACCGGATCGAAGTTAACTGTGCCCCAGTTTCGACCCGTTAGAGAGAATTCCTTAGTCTTCATATCCAAATTATAAAACTCCTATAGGAGAAGGATGAATTAGTCAGCTCATGAATCTCAGAAGCCCAAAGTACTCGGCGGTATTTTCTCAGCCGTGAGGACGGCATACGTTCAAGCTTCTTCGTTGGGGAATCAGCCATTGGAATGATACCTTGAAGAACTCTCTCAGTTTCCCTCTCTCGTCATTCTGGAAACCTCCGAATCGATAGAGGGACGGGTTTTTCGTCTGTATTCTGAGACCGTATGCGCCGGCTAGTCTCTGCCAAAAGACACTCTCGACCTGGTGGGGAAATGGAGAGCTCAATACCAAAATGCCCAAACGGATCTCACCGAGTGAATTTTGCGGGCCGACCTCGATGAGTCCCCCACCCGAGCTTCCGAATCCTCGGGACAGCGATATAAGATGAAATACTCTATTATTAATCGTTATCACTTGGGAATTTGATTGGAGCTGACCTCGCCATTATTTATCTGGTCCACCTTGCCAGTCTTGGCGTTTTTGAACACGATGTTCTGGTCGGTGAGCTTCAACTTTCCCGGGGCCATAGCGCCTCGATCCTCTTTCCAAACATCGCCGTATTCGAATATGGAGTTCACCATCTGAAAAATCGGGAGTTCTGATAAAGCGTGGCAGGAAGCGCTTCCCCTTTCCGCTGATCCTCGAGCCTCGGCGCTAGAAGCCGTCACAACTTTCACAATCCTCGCAGAATAATCAGGACAGAGGGGGAACCACCGACTACTCGCAACTCAGAAGCAATATCTGAGCATGGCCGGCATGCGTTTGAGCGCAAAAAATTTCACTGATCGGCTTCGGGGGAGCTCAACAGCTTCGAGTAGACATGTCTCCGATATGACACTTACGTTGGCGCTTTGAACAACTACTGAAGGTAGCCGGCGGAAGGGACTCACTGTTGGGGATTTCCCAACACTCACTACCGTCCTTGAACTATCAGAGGACTCTTCTTTTCGGTAGGCTAGGCGGAACCGTAGTGCGGATGATGCTTCGAGTGGCTGATGTACTGTTGTGTTTGTCTGAGCCGCCGTCAGCGCGCGCCAGTAGCAGACGCCGCGTCTCCGCTCTCATAGATCACCGCCTCCAATACTCCGGGAATTTCGAAGTCGCGCGGCATCGAGTGACTCAAAGAGAGAAGTCTTCGGACCTTCAAGTCGCGTGTGTTGCAAGTTGCGAGGTTCAGCTTGTGTCCGAATCGGATGTGATAATCAGGGAATATGAAAGCTTGTACTGGCACACAAGATTGCTTAGTGAGATAGGGTCGAAGGCAGTAGGGTCGTCTCCGCTGTCGCTCAGCGTCACCAAGGCGAATCTGAAGCTCAGCCACCACACTCGTGAAGAATCGAAGAAGCACTCGGGTAGAGTTTCGACAAGACAGTGTGTTTATTGATTGAGAGGTTGTTTCTTGTACTATTGTCTGTGAGAAAGGGAAGCCTATGTTGAGGCGCCGATCCGGCACCCCTTCTACTTGATTGATGAGCACACCCCCGTATACTATGGGTCCTGTCAAGTATTACTCTATGGAAAGCGAGATGCGCCCCGTTCGGGACGCCACCTGGTGACACCGAATAAACGGAACTGTCGGTGCAGTGCGCGCACATAGTCGTCGGAAACGATCGGATCGTCATGATTATCTGATCACTGATCAGCCCTCTTCGAGTGATAAAACGTTAGACTGTCCCCTTCTCCCCACGAATCTTGCGTCCTCAACATGGTGCCGTGACCGGGATTCTCAGAGACCGGGACTTCCGTCACAGAACAAGAATCCAAGAAGACTACGCACAAGTCCGGACTCAACCGAGGAGACCTCGAAATAACAGGTATCCTGCATACAATCCGGACTCATAAGTCCTCACACCGACCATCACCGAATGCTATCACGTGCGCGGGCGCACCAAAACTGTCTGCTCTCCGCATCTTCATAGACGATGGAAATATCCTTCGAGTGAGAACACGCCTAGCTCAGGCGACCTTCCTCAACTACGAGGAAAGAAACCCCATCGTGCTCCTGGGGGATCCAGGCTAGCAAGAATGCTCATCGTCGACACACACCGCATCAACGCGCACTTTGGCGTCACTACGGTGCTCTCTCAACTTCGCAAGCGATATTGGATCACGCGTGGCCGACAGGTTATCCGCTCGATCATCTCGCGTGCGTAATCTGCAAACGAGACAGGGAACTCCCCGCGGTCAACTGGAGGCGCCATTGCCGATTGAGCGCGCCCAGTTTCACGCGCCATTCACTACGACCGGGCTCGATTTCTGCGGTCACTTTTAGACTCGTTCCCGTGAGAGCGATATCAAGAACGGCTCCTACGTGATTCAAAAGACCTACGTGGCGATATTCGTCTGTACCTCGCCACTTATCCAGCGTGTCAGGGCTTTTTGAGTGACAATGGAACCAATCTCGTCAAGGCTTCCACTGATCTCAAACGGCTGTTCAACACGATGAAGAATCCCGAGGTCAGAGATCTCCTACAAGGCAGGAGCATCACCTGGAAGTTCGCGCCGCCCAGAGCGCCGCACTTTTCGGGACACACGGAGCGATTGGTCGGTACGTTCAAGTCTTGTCTGCAACGTACGCTAGGCAGATCGCTCGTAGGGTTCGAGGAGTTTCGGACTATTATTAATGAGCTCGCGGCTGTGATCAATGACCGACACTCGTAGGGTCAGGTTCCGGGAACGACTCACCCCTCGCACTCACGCCGGCGATGTTCCTCAAGGGAGGACCTCAGCCCTCCCCGCTCGCGTCAATTTTGCCCATCGATGATTTGCGGAACGACGAACCAGCGGTCGGTGACGTTCTACGGAAGCAGATGATCGAGCGTACGACATACTTCAGGTCCTTATCCGTCCGCTGGTGGCGCGAGTATATCACCCTGCTCCGCGGCGCGAATTGTTCGCGAGGTCGCCCCACCGAGTCTATCCTAATAGGAGATGTTTGCATCCTGGTAGATGACAATCGCCCACGCTCGAAGTACCCGCTGGTTCGGATAATGGGGGAACATCGCGGCCGAGATAACTTGATTCGGACATACACCGTCAAGTTTCAGAGCGGCAGAACTTCTCGACGAGCGGTTCATCTGCTGATACCCCTCGAAGTCGGCGACGATCCTACACGGCCTGGCAACGAGGAACCATGAGACGGAACTTTCTTTTTCAACCTACACAACGCAAGACACCCAGCAACGATCACCTAGGTTTAACATTGTGACAATATTATAAATCCTGCTCATCTTAATTAATTACCAGCCGAGCTTTAGGTGCATATGTATGTATTCTCGATACTGCCGCTCATTTGTGCATCTCGCTTGGCGGGACTGTCAAGTATTACTCTATGGAAACCGAGATGCGAGCTGTTGAAATCTCAAGTATTGGCGCCCCGTTCGGGACGCCACCGGGTGACTCCGAATAAACGGCACTGTCGGTGCAGTGCGCGCACATAGTCGTCGAAAACGATCGGATCGTCATGATTATCTGATCAGCGTATCAGCCCTCTTCGAGTGATAAAACGTTAGACTGTCCCCTTCTCCCCACGAATCTTGCGTCCTCAACAAGTCCCCATAATTAAAATAGTGGGGGCAGTTCGCCGTCCATTGGCCTTAGCCAATACCATAGCCATTGGCGAACCACCCCCACTATTTTCTTTACAACAGGAGGATGAACCCATTCGGGAGCTTATTATCGGGAGCGGGCGGTAGTAGGGAGCGACATGGACGTCTGTTTTCCGTTAAGCTGGCGGGGAGAAGCTTACGGCTGACGGTTCGCGCTACAGTGAGGCAAATCCTGGCGCCAACCACTGCTGGCGAGCCATGCTTCCCGCCACTCCGAGAGGATTTCCTGTCACCCACGACCTTGCTCCGGTTTTTCTAGTGACCAGCAAAGAGATGAGTCCTGGGAAGCTCATCGAAATATTGATCTTCTTAGCTGAAATGAAGATCGGATTCTTAATGTATAAATTATATCTCTGAATAAGTGAGCCATCCTCCACGTTCACGATACCAATCTTTTAGGGAGGTTGATTAATTGACACGTGGCAATTGGCCCACAAGAGAAGTCCGGCCCAGTATTCTCGGTTCGGAATAATCGAGTCTCGCCGAGGAAAGAGCCCCGCAGCGTTGCTGACGATTAAGGATCCGTAGTCGGGAGCGTTCGATTGACCGACAATTCCGAATGCTGAGGTCCTCACGGCCGCTCAAGGCTCCTCCTCGTCAGGTTTCTCGACCACGACTGAGAAAATCCAGAGGGGTTCTAGCAAGCCGGATGTCTATCTTCATCGGTCATTAGTAGAGCTTCGAAATTCAGGCACTCAAAAAGTAGGCAATATAGGCCTCAAAAGCAGGGCGAGATAGGCATCGAAGGTAGGCAGAGAAAAAGGCGGAAAAAGCGTCAAAAACAGGCAAAGTAAGCAAGGAGGAGGCGGAATAGGCACCTAAAAGGCGAAATAGACATTGAAAAGACGAAATAGGCACCAAACAGGCAAAACAGGTCCTAGAGGGCACAACAGGCACTGGAAGGCAAAATAGGCACCAGAAGAGGGCTTCTGGGCATCCGAAACGTGAAGTGGGCATCTCAGGCAGAGATTGAGGCGTTGTAGACAGAAAACTGGCATCTCAGGCAAAAAGGAGCATTCAGGCTGAGAAAAGGCATTTCAGGCATCATAGGCATCTTGCCTGAAGGGCATTAGTAATGAGGAAGGAAGTGAGAGAACCTGGCAACGATCGGATGTGTCTAATGCCTGGGAATCGCCCATGAGGGCGCCATGAGCACGGGAGTGAGTTGGTCGAGTGGTTACGCTGGAGGTAATCGCAGGAGCCTCTCTAGAAGTGCATCAGTATGCATCGCCGGAAGATAGTGGAGGGCAAGGCTGGCAAGGAAGCTCACGGTCGCCGGTCCAGGACGCCGGGTCTCGCAGGCGAGAATAAACATGAATTCATGAGGATATCGCCACGACCCCGACCAAGTGGTCGGGCAAGCCTTCCTTGCAGGATTATGAGAGAAGACCGCGTGAAATTGTTAATTGAATGAGGGAAGACTACTCTCCACGACCCAAAAGTTGCTACGATCGTGGTAGAGCAGCGGCTCCAATTATTTGGGGACGAGAAGGGCACGAGAGTGACTTCTGAAAGTTCGTGGTGATTCGACTCTTGAGCAAACGACGAGCGGTCTAGGATCAGGATCCTCTGAACGAGGGCTTCGGACTTCGGAATATTTGATTTCAGACTGATAACCGATGAAGATAGACATCCGGCTTGCTAGTACCCCTCTGGATTCTCTCAGTCGTGATCGAGAAACCTGACATGAGTAATTAGTAATTACTCATTACTCATTACTAGAGTGCGTATGTTCATCCATGAGTCATGAGTCATTACTCATTACTAGAGTGCGTATGTTCATGCAAAATGCATTTTCTGCATGAGAAAGCATAATTTGCCCATTTTCGCCAGGAAATGCATAATTAGGGCGTTCAAGCATGAACTCGCATGTTTCCCACAGTTCCTGACTGACGTTCGATCCATTCATCGAATCGATGAAAATCACGACGTCTTGGCAACTTCCCAGACTATTCCGAATAAGCGCGGCGGCAACCATCCGCGTGAGTTGCCTCGAACGATCCAAATGACTTTGCGATACCAGGCATTCTCTTGTCATCGGCGACGGAATCTCTCGCGAGCTTCCCAGGGGTTGGCTGGGTCTTACTCTGCCGAGTCTGTGAAAAAGAAGTTTCGGCCGAGGAAAGATTTCTTGTAACTCAGCATCTGAACGGTATGAAGCACAGAGCTTCATCCAGTAAGAAGTTGCTCGCGAGGACGTCGAACGTAGTGCGAATCGAACCCTTCCTGGTGGCCTCCGGAAAGAGCTCGCAATTCAACCTCGAATTAAGCGAAGCGTTAATGTCAGCTGGTATACCTCTACGGAAACTCGACAACCATAAATTGAGGAGATTTCTGGAGAACCATTCGGATAAGCCTATCCCATCTTCGAGTACATCGCAATGCATGTG